CCCATTAAGGCTGTGAATGAGCTACAGCCATGAAAGTTACCCCAATTGGAGACAAAGGATAGCTCTCGCTTAGACTGAAAGAATTTTTTAGATACCATTTACGGTTTGTCTTCAGCACTCGTTTGTTCGAAGCTGCTATTCCCATTCAAAAAAGCCTGAGAGGAAAGGAACGAAAGTGATGCGCATGTCTCTCTGTCACTGACAGGCTCGTTAAGCGTTGTCAAGGTAACCGTGCTTCAAAGGATTTTACCTCCACCACTTTAAACAGCACATTTTAATCTAATGGAGGGAGACAACACTGATTTAACATTAGGAAGTGGATACAATATGACTACTGGCCATGACCCTTCCCTTCACACGCAACCCTGATAGACTTTCAAAATAAGACTCCGGGGACCCTTCAAAATAAAAGCCCCTACATTAAACTCATATTTTTTTTCCCAGCATATGGCTCAACATTATGACCCAAACTCAACGACTTTTTTAAAATTATACTCTAGGGGGGGTTTCATAACACACCCCACAGCAAATTTCAAAATAAAAGCCTCCCATTTCCACTTCATCTACTGCCCTAATAACAGGGGGAAAGAGTGATTTAAGGATTGAAAAGTCATCAAGTATCACTGCTGGGTCTGACCCTTTTCTCAACACACAACCCTGCTAGACTTTCAAAATAAGACTCCAGTGACCCTACAAAATAAAAGCCTCTATATTATACTTGTGTATTAATTGATGCAAATGGCTCAGAATTATGACCCAAACTCTACCAGCTTGATTCTATTAGACTCTAGGGACCTTTTCACAACATACCCCAGAGCGAATTTCACAATAAAAGTCTCCCATTTATGCTCTAATATATTATCTATTCACCCAATAACATGGAAAACCAGTGATTTCATATTTAGAAATGGATTCTATATCACTGCTGGGCATGACCCTTCCCTTGACACACATCCATGATAGACTTTCAAAATAAGACTAAAGGGACCCTACAAAATAAAAGCCTCTTCCTTATGCACACTCATTCATTGTGCAGTATGGCTTGTAGCTATGACCCAAAGTCAACCAATTTCTTCAAATTACACTACCAAGGCCTGTTGACCACACACCTCAGTTTACATTTCTTAATAAGGCTCTAAGATTTACACTGTAATAAAGCATCTGCTAACCTAGTAACATGCAGCCTAAGCCTGCCAACTGTGCTTTCATCACCACAGCGGCTCGTATTATGCAGGTTAGTTTTTTTTTTATAAATTCAGCTCCTTAAGTGGTATTAGCTCTCTTTCTATAAGCTTCTCTCTCTGTCCTTCCTCTGCTTCTCATGGTTAGTCTTGCACATAGGTTTGTAAATTTTCAATCCTCAAATGATGACACTGTTTTCTTTATGCTGATCAACATTTTTTGATATCATGTATGGTTTGACTGTGCAGCTTTTAAGATGAGTTTGTTTCTGCCATTTTACTGCCAGATGTTTCTACCCTATAAAATCTTCAGATGATTCAATTGTTTTCTGCAGTTTGAAGTTTCTAATGACTTCCTATCACATTTTTATATGTTCTGCAGTTAATTTCAGCTTTTTTCATTCAGCAAAAGCATTCCCACTTTGATGTTTCTCCGAAACAGCTTTTTCTAGTTATTATTATTATTCCGTAGGTTTTTCTTCGTTTAACTAGTTCAACAGTTTTCAGCTGATTTAAACAAATTTGGTATCAAAACGTTCAGCTTGTTCAGGAGAATTCTGCTATGACTTTTGGTAAAGATATTGTTCGTAGTTTTCGCGATATTCAGCTTTTTCTGCGATTTTTTGCCCCATTGAAATGCATGTAAAACTTCAAAAATTCCACTAAAACTTCAGCTACTTTGCCCTTTAACTACTTCAGCATACTTTCAGCTAGAAACACCATTCAACTTTTAAAATGTTTCCGTATCTTTCTGCTATTACTGTTTAACTCGGCTTTCTGCTAACTTTTACAGTTTTGCTTCAGTGAAGCTTCAAACTTTAGAAGAAAATTTTAAGATTTTCAAATTTATAATGGAAGTCTATGGACGGAATGTTCAGCAGCTAGAGTGTGCCACTCTAGCGTTTTCAAACATTTCACTCATGCCGAACAGCTTCAACTCACTCGCTCATTTTTTACTCTATCTAGATAAATTTTACATCAAAACGTAGGGATTTTTGTCAGGATTCAGGAAATGTAACCCTCATTTGTGTGGCATTTACGGTTTTCCGACAGTTTGGCCCAGACCACGAAGAAGTCCACACTTCCCCAATAGAAATCCAATGAGAGCTCTCTGAAAATCCGAACTGAAAATTCAAAAAAACAGACTTTTTCGTATCGCTCCCATTCGGGAACCGTTCGACGTAGCAACATGAGCCTTGTGGAAGTTGTTCCTCAGACCTTCCTAGCACTCACATTGAAGGAAGTGTGTCGATATCTTTTATCGTTTAGCCAGGAAAAAGGTTTGTTCGGGGGTAACAAATCTGTCCGAACCCCAAAATCAAGATTTTGACAATTATACACTTTTTTACATCGTCACCACGCCTAGACGAAATATTGTAGAAATATGAAAGTTACACCAGTTGTAGTCCAAAGATGGCTGACGCTCACGGTGAAAGAATTTTTTGAATACCTATTACGGTTTTGGCTCACCGCTCGTTTGTTCGGAGGGAAAGTTTTGCTTTTGAGAGCTCTGCTCTACCATGTGACTCCATGTTATTTAATGAGACCAGCAGGATTTATAAACCTTTAAATTTCTCCTTCCCATTAAGGCTGTGAATGAGCTACAGCCATGAACGTTATCCCAATTGGAGACAAAGGATAGCTCTCGCTTAGACTGAAAGAATTTTTTAGATACCATTTACGGTTTGTCTTCAGCACTCGTTTGTTCGAAGCTGCTATTCCCATTCAAAAAAGCCTGAGAGGAAAGGAACGAAAGTGATGCGCATGTCTCTCTGTCACTGACAGGCTCGTTAAGCGTTGTCAAGGTAACCGTGCTTCAAAGGATTTTACCTCCACCACTTTAAACAGCACATTTTAATCTAATGGAGGGAGACAACACTGATTTAACATTAGGAAGTGGATACAATATGACTACTGGCCATGACCCTTCCCTTCACACGCAACCCTGATAGACTTTCAAAATAAGACTCCGGGGACCCTTCAAAATAAAAGCCCCTACATTAAACTCATATTTTTTTTCCCAGCATATGGCTCAACATTATGACCCAAACTCAACCACTTTTTTAAAAATGAGACTCTAGGGGGTTTTCAAAACACACCCCACAGAAAATTTCAAAATAAAAGCCTCCCATTGCCACTTTATCTACTGCCCTAATAACAAGGGAAAAGAGTGATTTAACGATTAGAAAGTCATCAAGTATCACTGCTGGGTCTGACCCTTTTCTCAACACACAACCCTGCTAGACTTTCAAAATAAGACTCCAGTGACCCTACAAAATAAAAGCCTCTATATTATACTTGTGTATTAATTGATGCAAATGGCTCAGCATTATGACCCAAACTCTACCAGCTTGTTTCTATTAGACTCTAGGGACCTTTTCAAAACATACCCCAGAGCAAATTTCACAATAAAAGTCTCCCATTTACGCTCTAATACAGCATCTATTCACCCAATAACATGGAAAACCAGTGATTTCATATTTAGAAATGGATTCTATATCACTGCTGGGCATGACCCTTCCCTTGACACACATCCATGATAGACTTTCAAAATAAGACTAAAGGGAACCTACAAAATAAAAGCCTCTTCCTTACGCACACTCATTCATTGTGCCGTATGGCTTGTAGCTATGACCCAAAGTCAACCAATTTCTTCAAATTACACTACCAAGGCCTGTTGACCACACACCTCAGTGCATATTTCTTAATCAGGTTCTAAGATTTACACTGTAATAAAGCATCTGCTAACCTCGTAACATGCAGCCTAAGCCTGCCAACGGTGCTTTCATCACCACAGCGGCTCGTAACATGCAGGTTCAATTTTTTTATAAATTCAGCTCCTTAAGTGGTATTAGCTCTCTTTCTATAAGCTTCTCTCTCTGTCCTTCCTCTGCTTCTCATGGTCAGTCTTGCACATAGGTTTGTAGATTTTCAATCCTCTAAGGATGACACTGTTTTCTTTATGCTGATCAACCGACACATTTTAAATAATTTTCCAATGGTTTTGCCAAGTCTTGACATTTCCACATATGATTTCAAAATGTTAAGACTTATTCAATACCATTGTCCTCAACATTTTACTTCCCATCCTTAAGCTACTAATTTTTTCTTCAACCAGATAAGATTAAAGTTTTTCTTTGTAATTTCTTTTCTACTTCAGCTAATTTCATACTTTTCAGCCTATGTTGTGAACTTTGGCTTCATTCTGCTCTGTTTCTGGACAGGAATTAAGCTTTTCTGTTTGCTGCTAATTCATAACACGCCTGACATGTTTCTGGAAAGTAGGTAAACCCCCCTTCAAAATTTCTTTATACATTTTTCTAGAAACTTGGGAGACATTATATTAAGACCCTTCTAGTGCCCACATTCAAGACATTTTTTGATATCATGTATGGTTTGGCTGTGCAGCTTTTAAGATGAGTTTGTTTCTGCCATTTTACTGCCAAATGATTCTACCCTACAAAATCTTCAGATGATTCAATTGTTTTCTGCAGTTTGAATTTTCTGATGACTTCCTATCACATTTTCATATGTTCTTCAGGTAATTTCAGCTTTTTTCATTCAGCAAAAGCATTCCCACTTTGATGTTTCTCCGAAACAGCTTTTTCTAGTCTACAGCTAAGTTTTGTATTAGTCTTTAAGAATTATCTAAAAAAAAAAACTGTTGATATTTAGGGTGTAAATGTGTGTTTAGCTTAGAAAATACACAGTATTTTATAGGCTGATACTAGTAATAGTGTTTAATCTCTCTTTCATGAGGTAGTATTTGAGGAGCTACATGTAGCCTGACTGAAAAGCTCTTTTCTTCTGCTGTCTCAGGCCCCGCTTCCCCTTCAGCACCTAAAGATGTTTTGGAGGCTCTAGAGCAGAGACGAGTTAAATATGTGGAGGCATCAAATCAGGCCAAAGCCAGTGGGGACGACCGCAAGGCCCGAATGCATGACCGCATTGCTAAGGTAGGAGGTGATATCATGTAAGTGTTACTACAATGACTAAACTAATATCTTTTCACATATAACACAGAGATTTTTGTTTAAGTCACATGAAGTTGAAAGTTAGGTGTTCTTTAGTAATAGTCTTGATTTCTGCCAGACCTGTTGAATCAAGAACTTACAGAACCAGTTCAATCCCATAGACATTATATACGTAGATGCCTCATTGGACGCTGCCATAGCCCACTTCATATAAACCTGCGCATTAACTCAAAAAACAATCTTCTCCTTTGCCATCTTCCTCTTCTTTGCAGCTGTAGCATGTTTTGTCTGTCTTTTAAACACATTCTCCTTTTTTTTTTAATGTATTTATTTATTTATCGCTTCATTAAAATCTCTAGTTCCAGTGGGGTGAAATAGACACTTCCTGTTGTCATGGTGACTCGTTGAATCATATCTTCACCAATAATGGCATTTCATACTTCTCACGCACATGCTAAACTCTGAGTGGTTCTACTTGGAGTTGATTGAACGAATTCATAGCAGCCATTGTGAAACCAAAAACTCAGAGTTCCCAACATTAGGCTAGATTAATTTAGAATTGAGGATTTGTATCTGAGTTTGAAGAGTAACTCAATATCCATATTCAGGGGTGTAAAACACTTACTGCCAGTTGTTGTAAATGCTTGAATAGGTTTTGGTAAGGTAATTACTTTTCTTTTTATATATAGCAAGTGAATTTGGAGAGCCTTCTCTTTCCCTTAATAAATATTTTTGATTTAAAAACAGTTTTTTTTTTTGGTAGTTACTCATCTTATCTTTGCCTGATCAGTGTAACATTTAAGACACGTAAGGGTAAACACGGAAGAAATATGTCAGGAATCAAATTGGTACCATGAAAAACAGACAAACAAAATAACTTTTTTTTTTTTTTGCATTAGTTGTGTTTATTATAACATTATTTATCTCTGTCCTGCAGCAATATCAGAGTGCTATCCGAGCCCACAAAGCTGGGAAACCAGTCAACTTTGATGAGCTTCCAGTTCCCCCTGGTTAGTATCATGTGACTCATTTTATAGCTGGTTTAAATTTAGTGTCTATGTTACAGAGGCTGGGCAATAATTGGAGAAAAGCCATGGTGGGTAACAACTTTAAGGTTTAATAATGGGATACTCCTGCCCAACAGTTTAGTTCATTCATTTGAGGAACATGATCTGTCCTCCATTTGTCGAACAGTGAGACATGAGCAGAGAATAAATGGGTCCCTGCTTGCAACCAGAGATGGTTGATAAAGTTAGGATTTGGTAAATTTAAGGATCAATTATTGCTGTTGTATTTGTGAGCTTTCAGAAATCGTTTTTGTTTGAAATTCCCCAAAAGGAGAAGATGGAGAAATTAGGGATCATTATTCAATAAATACTTATTCTAAGTTACATTTTATAGTATTTTCGCCAAGATATTATTTAGGTCTTCTAATATTTCATCCTGATTAAAAGGAAAGTGCAAAGTTCTGTCCTCCTTTAAAAGCTTTGCTCCATCTGTACTTTTTTTCATAAAGTCTGCCATCATTTAGTTGCCATTTAGTTCAAAATGTTAAATTCGCTTCAGTCTTTTGCCATTTTAACATTTTACTCTATTTTTGACTTTTTGATCTGTAAATGATGCAATTTTTAAAGACATACACTATATTGCCAAAAGTATTTGCTCACCCATCCAAATTATTGGAATCAGGTGTTCCAATCACTTCCATGGCCACAGGTGTATAAATTCAAGCACCTAGGCATGCAGACTGTTTTTACAAACATTTGTGAAAGAATGGGTCGCTCTCAGGAGCTCAGTGAATTCCAGCGTGGAACTGTGATAGGATGCCACCTGTGCAACAAATCCAGTCGTGAAATTTCCTCGCTCCTAAATATTCCACAGTCAACTGTCAGCTGTATTATAAGAAAATGGAAGTGTTTGGGAACGACAGCAACTCAGCCACGAAGTGGTAGGCCACGTAAACTGACGGAGCGGGGTCAGCGGATGCTGACGCGCATAGTGCGAAGAGGTCGCCAACTTTCTGCAGAGTCAATCACTACAGACCTCCAAACTTCATGTGGCCTTCAGATTAGCTCAAGAACAGTGCGCAGAGAGCTTCATGGAATGGGTTTCCATGGTCGAGCAGCTGCATCCAAGCCATACATCACCAAGTGCAATGCAAAGCGTCGGATGCGGTGGTGTAAAGCACGCCGCCACTGGACTCTAGAGCAGTGGAGACGCGTTCTCTGGAGTGACGAATCGCGCTTCTCCATCTGGCAATCTGATGGACGGGTCTGGGTTTGGCGGTTGCCAGGAGAACGGTACTTGTCTGACTGCATTGTGCCAAGTGTAAAGTTTGGTGGAGGGGGGATTATGGTGTGGGGTTGTTTTTCAGGAGCTGGGCTTGGCCCCTTAGTTCCAGTGAAAGGAACTCTGAATGCTTCAGCATACCAAGACATTTTGGACAATTCCATGCTCCCAACTTTGTGGGAACAGTTTGGAGCTGGCCCCTTCCTCTTCCAACATGACTGTGCACCAGTGCACAAAGCAAGGTCCATAAAGACATGGATGACAGAGTCTGGTGTGGATGAACTTGACTGGCCTGCACAGAGTCCTGACCTCAACCCGATAGAACACCTTTGGGATGAATTAGAGCGGAGACTGAGAGCCAGGCCTTCTCGTCCAACATCAGTGTGCGACCCCACAAATGCGCTTCTGGAAGAATGGTCAAAAATTCCCATAAACACACTCCTAAACCTTGTGGACAGCCTTCCCAGAAGAGTTGAAGCTGTTCTAGCTGCAAAGGGGGGACCGACGTCATATTGAACCCTATGGATTAGGAACGGGATGTCACTTAAGCTCATATGTGAGTCAAGGCAGGTGAGCAAATACTTTTGGCAATATAGTGTATATTCATATAATTTGAATGCACATAAACTGGTTACTTTTGCAGGTAAAAACAAAACAACGAATAGAAATCCTGAAAAATCTCTAGTATTTTGTATGTCTAAATACTTTATATTTTCTTGAATCAAGAACTAAACGTCTGGATGATGTTTCAGGATTTCCTCCGATCCCCGGCCAGAAGGCGGCAGGTGCTGAGCAGCAGTTTATCGCTACTCTGGAGGCAGCTAGCAAGCTCACTTCCACTGATGCTACTGAAGTTGGAGATGAGGAGGAGGAAGATGATGAAAAGGAGGAAGAGGTGAGCTATCTGCTAGCTGTAGTTTATAGATAGATTCGTTCTGATTAAATGACTAATTAACCAAATCTTTCCCAGTCAAAGATCGCTGTTCCAGAAAAGCCAAAGAAGCCGATGTTGGATGTCCCCACAACGGTTCCAGAGCAAAAACGAGCGCCCTCACCTTCACCAGACAGAACGTCTCTAAAGGAAAGCCTCTCACCCGCAGGTCAGTTTCAAAAGCAGATCAGTGTAATTCTCACTGCTGTCCAAACCAACATTTCATTTATTTATCAGTATATAAGGCCGATTTCCCCCTAGAACGTTTCTTTTTTTTTGCTTTCTTTTTGACACCTTAAAGAACCTCTTAAGATTCCCTGATTAAATACTGATTTCATATTCATTCCAGGCCCTCTGTGAAAATTACTAGCCATGAATCTTTAACACTGCTGTTGGAGAAATGAAACCAGTACAACCACATTAAAGGGTTTTCAAGCAAAAACCTGGTTGACGCATTACTCAATCAACTTTAAATTCAGACTTTGATTAGGCCGCTCTTAAAGTCGTAGGGAAGTCATATTTAAATGTCAAATTATTCTGACTTAAACATATATATAACTGTACTCTTTATCAGACCATATTGTCCCAAAATTTAGAAAATTTCCATTAAAAAAAAAATCCTTTCTTAAAATCTGTGGGGGTTTTTTTTTGCATTATTTTATGTAGGCCAGTTAGTTATACGTCTTCCTGTACACCTAAATTCAGCCAATCATATATCAACGGTCATCTGTCAATCAATTTTTTTTCGGTCATAGCATCTTGATTCAGATGTCGCAGCTAATATACGCAATGGTTGAAAAAAGAAATAAGAATCATGTACTTTACTATTGAGTTATGTACCAGCGTTACCGGGGATGGACGTCTGTGTCTTCGGCGTAGAGCTGACACAACTGGCAGCTTTGAGAGGCAAGGGCTCAAACATGTACGGCTTCTACTTGGGAGAATTCGGAACTGCAACCGTTGGAACAGCCGCTTCACTATGACTTTAAACCTTCATTTCTTATCTTTAAGCAATTCGGAGTTGGATTTGCGGGTGTAGAGAGGCAATGGTGCCAGACACACAGTGGGTCACACCTCTGCAATGGCTCTAGGCTGTCCTAGTTGATGCTTGAAAAGTGTAGCATGTAAAGGCCTTCAGGTGCTGAGCTGATTACCAGACAATGTTCTGAATAATGTTCCCCTGGAGAGCTAAACTCATGGTGCCGTCAATTAAGTCATGTGAACCAGTTCTTGTAGCAGCTCCGAAGCCCCAAACCATCACACCACCTCTACTTTTGGTCTATTGTTATTTTTCTGATCTACTGTTGGTTGCTCTCTAGATGTTGCAGGACACGCACCTTTGTCTCATCAGTTCACAGAATATTGTCCCTCACTTTTTGGGGATCAAAAAGCTGTATGCAAATGTAAAAAAACTGACCTCTCTTGGGTTGTTGGTGCTTTTGACCTTTAAACTTTTTGCCAGATGCAACTTACTCTTTTTTTATTTTATTTTTTACATTGACCTGAAGTGAGGCAAATAAAAATGAACTTAAGGTAGAGAAAGAATAAGCTTTGGAATTCTCCACATTTGTAAACATTTCTCCTCATAACTCCTGGTTTATATCAGATTTTTGTGTGCCTGACTTCCAGCCGTTCAACTGCTGGAGCTCTTGGAGAGCAGAAAGAAACAGTACATGAAGGCAGCTCTACAGGCCAAACAGAAGAACGACATGGAACAAGCAAAGGGTTTCCTCCGCACTGCAAAGGGCTTGGAGCCCATGATCGAAGCAGCACGCAGCGGCAAGACCGTGGACATCAGCACGGTGAGCTGACGGCTGAGAGCCACTTTCAGACCTTGGGAAAACAGGAATTTCTCTGCTTTCTTTAAAACATCTCGTACACTGTAGAGCAAATTGTCACAGATCTTTTTCCGCACCTTGAAGCTGCCATCGCCCCCTGGTGACGAAGAGGACGACTTCATCCTGGTCCATCACAGCGATGTGCAGCTTTCAGAGAAAGCAGAGCAGGTTTACACTCAGCTGTCCAGCATTCTCAAAGAGCAACATGAGGTAAAACAAACACAGAATCAACAAACTAAACAGGTCTACTCTCACTAAAAATTAGGATGTTAATATAAGAATAAACAGTCAGTTTGGTAAATTGTGGAGGCTGAAATATTCGGACATATTTATTTGGTAATTTTTTTGTTTGGTTTTCTTTGGTGTTCTTGTGGCTGTAAAAAAAAATAGTAAGGATTGTTGTGATTTCTCTTCCTCTCAGAAATGCTTGACGTACTCCAAACAGTTCACTCACCTTGGGAACGTCTCTGAAACAACAAAGTGAGCCTCCTCCATCTTTCTCTAGTGTTCTGAGACACTAACTGCTGCCTTTTGTTTGGGGCTCATGATTTTCTTCAACTGTCCTTCTCCCTTGAGGTGCATTAATCCAGAGAAATACACTTAAAATAAGCTTTTCTGTGTTTGAGGTTTGAGAAGATGGCGGAAAGCTGCAAGAAGAGCATGGAGGTCCTAAAGCTGGCTCAGTCGAGGGGTCTTCCTCCTCCTAAACATCACTTTGAAGAAAAATCCTTCCACACTGTGAGGTGAGAACATTTATTCATAACTGACTGTTTTCCAAGTAGAAGTATTTCCTTAGTCCTGACCAGGTGTTGCTCCTTAAAGCTACAGTGGCGGATGTTCTTTATCTGGGTGGATCATCAAAATAATTGGTCCTCTTATTTGTTAATCATTCTGGTGATATGTTTACGTAAGGCCGCCCTACGTGCTTGTCCCCATTTTCACTGGTGGTGAGTCTGACAGAGTGGAGAAATTGCAAATCTTCTTTTGGAAAGTGCTGGTGAAGATTAAAAAATGAACAATCCACTGGACTTAAAGTTTGAAGACGTTTTGCTTCCCTTCCAGGAAGCTTTTTCAATTCTAAATGTCAGAAATAGCGTTGAGTTGGAGGCTGTATAGAGTGGACCAAAAACAAAGCCTTGTTTTAGCTTAGGAATGGGGGTAGATCGGGTTCTTTGTTAGCCTGCAATACCCGATACCTGTCTACGTCTCTGAAAGAGGGTGTTGTTAGAGGGAATTGTTGGCCTGGCTGAACAGGCCAGGTGTTCTGTTCCCCTGTAAGGGGGTGGGGGTTGTGATGGTAGCGGGAAGGAATCAACTCTATCGCTGCATTGTAGGTTTCTGAAAGCTGAAACCTGAGGCCACCACCTCGGTTTAAGGTTAGTTTTTCTTTCTTAACATAGATGGCTTCCTCCACGCCCTTCTCAAACCACCTGTCTTCTTTGTCCAAAATGTGAACATCCTGGTGCTCAAAAGAATGTCCTTTGTTAAAAGCATACTTTGGAAAGTGCACGAGGAGAAATGGGCTCCTGCATGCTCTCGCAGGCGTTTAATAGCGGTTCCCTCTCGGGGGCGGGTACAGGGTTGTGCATGTGCTGTTTTTTTTTTTTTGTTTAAATTTATTTTTAAGTCAATAACTTTCTGGTTTCTTTCTAGAATATTTCCAGAGCTGAGCAGCACCGACATGGTTGTCATCATTGTGAAAGGGATGAATCTTCCTGCTCCTAGTGGTAAAAAAATTGGTTAACCAGGTTCTGAAAATTCAGACTCTGTGCTTTAAATGAAATCTTGTTTAAAAATAAGTGTTAATAACAATAAATATTTTCTCGTTTTTAATTGTTTTTCCTTCCTCAGGAATCCAGCCCAATGATCTGGATGCTTATATCAAGTTTGACTTCCCCTACCCCAGCACAGTAAGTGCCGTAGATTATCGCTTAGATTAATTAAGACTCATGAGTGTCGTTCTGAGAAGATCTTTTTCTCCTCCAGGAGCAGCCTCAGAGACACAAAACAAACGTCATAAAGAACAATAACTCACCAGGTGAGGCATGGACTCTGATATGGGTTTGGTAGTCTTCAGTGCACTCGTTCAACATTTGGACCAATAAATCTATATATTGACCCAAAAATAGGCAAATTATTCCCTTTTAAAATGGAATTAAGATAAGGTTTTCCAGCCCTCATATTCCCACCTGTTAATAGATTGGTGGGAAGATCCGTTCATCTTTTCCATTACAGACCATGTTGCCCTGATGTTTTAGTTTTGATAGCACTTTCTCCACTAACACCTGTTTTGATTAACATAATTCAGCGTGCAGCACACCATGTGTTTGTTTTCCCCAGAATATAACCAGAGCTTCACACTGTCAATCAACCGTAATCACCGCGGCTTCAGGAGAGTCGTGGCGTCTAAAGGCCTCAAACTGGAGCTGCTGCATAAAGGGTGAGGCTCTGTTTGTGCTTCATGACATAAAAATATTCGATGAACTAACATCATCATCACATCATCCCTGCTCCAACACACGCCTGCAGAGGCCTTAATGAGGATTTCATTTTATCCAGGTCTAATTAAGTTTGCAACCTCGTGTTCACTCACATGGTTAATCAATCACGTGTAAACAGCCATATAAGACATATGTTCTAGAAATTTGGTGGAGACAATGTATCCAACTTTCTGTGGTTACAAATAAAAAAAGAATAGATACATGATATGTAAAAGAGAGCAGTTGCCTAAATCTTTGTGTCCCTGTGTTTTCTCTCAGTGGTTTCCTGCGGAGCGACAAGCCCATCGGGTCAGCACTCGTAAAGCTGGAGAAACTGGAGTCACAGAGTGAAATCAGGGAAATCGTAGAGGTAAGCATCATTTAGTAAGAATAAGAAGAGATTTTGCTGAGTCCTCGACAATAATAGGAAAACAGATGAAGTATATTTAGTAAAAGGGCTGTTTTTATTTTCCTGTTCACTGATGTCGCCCAGTCCTTCTAATCTAACAATAAAACTAAAGTCCGAATAGTGGCGGCCTAGTGGTTAGAGCATAGAGCTTTGAATACTGAGGTTTTGAGCCCCACTCCCACAGACTGCCACTCTGGGTCCCTGAGCAAAGACCCATAACCCCTCACTGCTACCCGGGCGCCGCACAATGGCAGCCCACTGCTCCCCAAGGGGATGGGTTAAATGCAGAGGTACATTTTGTTGCTCTGTACTTGTTACAGTGTATGACAATAAAAATAAATAAATAACATCTTGATTGACATGTTTGCCTCATTTACATGTTTAACAAAAGCATGCTTAACCACTCTGTTTGTCCTGCCAGGTGATGGACGGCCGTAAGCACACAGGCGGTCGAGTCGAGGTGAAGGTGCGACTGCGGGAGCCTCTGAGCGGTCAGGACATGCAGATGAGCACAGAGCGCTGGCTGGTCATCGACTCCTCAAAGGTTACACTAAATGCTGTAAAACTTTAATACACTATATATATAGAAGGCTAAAACAGTTTAATGACTTTTTTAATGTCATTTTCTTTTGCCTTTTTCTCCTTTTCAGAGTCCTGTTTAGATGCGTTTCAGTAGAGGAGTAACAGATAAAGGTAATTCATACAATACCTGCAAACAATCCAGTAGTTTGTCTTTTTTTTTTTTTTTTAAAGAATGGATTTGTACTTCCTTAGATGCTTTCCTCCTAATGTCTTATTCAGTTCTGCTCAGGAGTTAATACTCCCTCATTAGTAATTTTAGGGTTTTCAGTATTTCATTGTTTTTGTTTGTGGCGGACTGTTAATAAAACACAACTTTAACTGATTCTATTTACCACTGATTGTTTTTATAATGGCTGTGCAGGGTCAAAAAATATAAAAATCTAGCTCATCTGTTAGCTCTGACGCTAATTTTGAGTGAAGTCTAATGCCAAAAGTATTTGGCTACTTTTACATAAACATTAACTATGATTCCAATTGGTTGATATACCCCTGTTCTGAAAGCAGCTACTACAACTAATCTATACTTACCAACTACAAGGTTTTCTATATTGCTGATGTCAAGACTCGCAAAACTGTATAGTAATGCATCAGAGGAAGGGACCAGAACACCCATTTTATCTGCTTTTAGTGCTGTGATCGCTGCGATTAGCAATGTAGGCTATTTTAACTGCTCCTCTTCTATGGATGTTTCAGCTCATTTAAATTGTTTGAGGCCCTAAGACCCACCTACTGACATGGAGGAAACTGTAATGGACAAGCCAAATAACATCTGGGGAAATGTTTAATGTTCTGGTAGCTTTGCTGGTAGCTATCTGGCTACCAGTAAAAGGGAGCGAACCTGGACGGGTCAGGGTCAGGCTTTCAACCCTCCATAATGTTAATGTTTTGCTACCAAGGGTAATTAAGAAGTACTGGATCATAATAATTGAATCAATAGTTGGGTCTTTGAAACCTGGAGATATCCAAAATGTTTATTTTATTGATTAAAGAGGCAAACATTAAGCTTAATGGATCAGACTTCAGCCTTCAGTATATGGACTCCACCTAAATGCTGCGACTATGGCAGCAGAGGGACCAATTTATATTAGACAAGGAGTCTATCAGAAGCTGAACAACCTGCGAAAGGAATCCAGAGGGAGAATTTGTATATTGGATCCTGTCTGATTTGGGGAAAATTCTTCATAAATTTGCTCAATATGTTTGTATTGAAATATAGATGAGGTTTTATGCTCTCTGATCTGTTCCAGACAGAAAGGAGGAGGGTTCAAACAGTATTTAAATCAGTAAAAACCTCCAAATATAAAGATAATTAAGATAAGTGTTAGAATAAGAGAAGGTCGACTTTCTGACAGAATCTGGATGAAGCTGCTGTGTGCCTGGACCAATCATTGGATGAGGATAGCTTGATGTTGATTGAATGATATTTACATTGTTAATCCTCTAAAAGCTGATGGTTGGATTGTCGTTTGTTTGACATATTAGCTTGCTATTAAGATATCGCCTCTTTTTTTTTTTACGTTTGGTGAAGTGTATATATTTTTATACATTTAATCTTTGCATGATTGGTATCTTTTCTTGCAGGAGGAAATGGAATCGGTGAGGAACACTCGGAAAGATGAGATATGGGATCTGCTGAGGACAGTCTGTTGTTTGTGTGGAACCAAGACCTTAACCGATCTTGGACTTCTTTAACTTTTTGCACACCAGTGCAACATGGAAGCGCCTTTTGCACAGCAGTCCACTCAGAGGAGACGTTTTGCCATTGTACCCGGGCTCAGTGCAGGGTCTGAGGAGCTGCTGTAGGACTGTGATGATGCATGAAGCAGACCTTAGACCAACAAGCTGAAGGCTTATTGAATCAGAGGTAAAGAGACCCAGGCAGCCATTGCAGCTGCTCCTGGTAAATCAGCTGCACCTTGAGAAGTTAGCAGTCTGTGTTCTGCTAATGTTGAAGAGCTACCCTCTTGCTGGCTAAAACTTAAATTTATTTAATTTACTCTAACAAATCATTTGTACATATTGGTCATATTTAAACATATCTAGGATGTAGAACTTTACTATGCACTAATACCAAAGTAATCAGAGTTGCTGTAATATCCTGCATATTTGAATCACCTTTAGTTGCCAAGTATGTTACAAAGTTGCAGAAATTTATTTTTTACATTTCTATAATACGGCTGACATGTTTGCACCTTAGGTTGTCAGGAGTTTCCACAGGAGAAAGCCCAGTGGTTATGAAGCTACAGGAGGTGTGGTTAGGCCGTTATTCTAAAGACTGTCCTTTCTGCACCTTCTACTTTTACTGGAAGTTGGAGGTGTGTTTTGTTTACAATAAGAAGCACAAAACCCCAGAAATCCTTAATATATGCAGATAAAGTAGAGGTGTAAAAGTTATGGAGTAGCCTATCTAAAGTAGCAGTCTGGTTAACTGTTTTACATCGTTTCAAGGGACAAATTATGCCCTTTATGACTGAAAATTCTTAAGTAGAAAGACTGAGCACTGTTAAATGATGTCAGTTGAGTAAAAATATGAAACTAATATCAGGCTTTATTACAAGTGTTTTCTGTCCCTGTTTCAGTTCTTTCTGGGAGTAGTTAAAAGGGTCAGTTACTGTTAAAAAAAGCAATACTTTTAAAGGAAGTCTGGTCATTTTAGTTCCTAAAATGTTGGTCTTAAAAGTTTACCAAGAAATTATGCTTCTCAGAGTCCATAAACTGTAGGACATATTGGCATTGCAGACTGTTAAATCGATCCGTTTCCAAGGTCCAGAAATATTTGTTGGCATAAAACACCTTTAAAATAAGCTGGTCTTTTATTGCAGAGGATTAAACTGGCACTGGAAATTAAACCAATATTTGGAGAAAATTCCATATTTTATATATATACATATATTTTTCCTTAAATCCCTTTGCAACCTTAATATAACCTCATAAAGATGTATTCTAAAAACTGTAAAGGGGAAAAACAAGAACAAAACAATCACTTTTAGTTGTTAACAGCTTGGGAAACCTTTCATCAGGAAATCTTTCTGATCCGTTTCCGGGGACAAATAGGAGGTGGCGCAGAGTCCTTTTTTTTAGTTTGTTTGTTTTTTACCAGCTGGTTACTAGGCTGGATGATGAACCAAGTTCATCTTGGCATCAAGCATAGAGAGCAAGATGGGACTGCAGGTTAAAACTAGTTTTTAAAACCACAACAAAAAGGCAGCATTTTAGCACCAATTGACTCATTAACTGCCCTTGTTTTCTGCTTTCATTTCTAATTTCACCATAAATTGGGCCAAAACCCATCATACCCCTAAAACAAACTTTCTATAAATCATGCTATCATGACATTTTTATTCTTTTTATTTCTTATTGATCTATAATTTTCCTTCAAATATGTAAGTTATAAGTGGACTCATCAAAATATATCAGGAAATATAAAATTAACTTAGTATTATACAGTATGGTTTATGTTTGCCACTTTTTTAATCGTAGCTAAATGTTATATGGCCTTAGAACATTTTTGACAAAAAAAAAACCTGGTGGTCCACATCATTAGATGCTCGATCTGGATGCCAACAGGTTATTTAGAAGTATGTTAGCAAAGACCTACTGTATTTGTCCTAGCGTCACATACATAAAGGCCTCTCAGATTTTGAAACCCTGATTTGTCGAGTTGAGACCAAAACTTAACTTTTCCAGGAACAAGTACTCGTGGTAGGTGTGATGTACAACAGGCTGAATTTATAGAAAAGCATCTCATGCCAATTTATTAAACATGGTAGATGATGTATAATGATGTGGGCCTCCCTTTCTTTCTTAACAGCCCCAAGAACAGATTTTGAGCTCTCTAAACATTCAGGATATTTTAAATTAAAATAAAAAAGCCTGTGATATCTGCAAGGGAATGAACAAAGGTTCCTGACTGGTTCTTTGAACAGGGTAATGTGCCAAACATCCAAATGGTAAAGTCTCCTCAGGATTTCAACATGCATCTTATGAAACGTCCCAAAAAAAAAAGGTTTAGAAATTAATTCATTAAAATTATCATTTTAATGGTCATTTTTTAACTAATATTTTAAATAAGAGATATTCATTGTGAGTTTATGCCTCTGCAGTAAAAGATGAGAAAGCTTTTCCGTTTGTATTGACAGAAAATATTTAATAGATTTAGTTTGAACTGATTTCTATTTTCTGACTGATATAAATAAAATCTATCAATATGGCCAAGACAAACACAAATACGTCAATTTTAACTGAACTGTCCCTTTAAAGTCCCTAGTAATGAATATAAATTAAGCCATAATAAAGCTACTGAGCCAAGTTAGTAAATGGCTTCACCTCAGCCCACAGGTTGGTCACAACATTTCAGTTTCTCTCCTAAAAAAGAAAAAATGTTTTTTTAGTGTTTAACCAACTACAGGTTTACAAAAGGTAAATGTCTTGTTGATATTTCTAAAAAGCTTCAACGTGTATGGTGAAATCTAGATATTGCAAGTGTGGCATACAGAGCCATCAGTAGGTTAAAATATCCACCCCATAATCAAAAACATGTTAAATCTGATATAAATGTACCACTGTTTATGTTCAAATTGTGATTGATTTATTTTCTAATAAGTACAGGTGATTTTGTTATTTCGAAATGAGTTATTGAACAGAAGTCACTGTCGACCCCTGACCAGCAGAGGGCGCGTTCGCCACACTGTGTGTTCTCGGTCATTCAGAGAATGAGGACACGTATAAACTGTGAAGCTGATATACGTGTGTGGCGAACTCTGATTCTAATATCAACATTTTTGGCTCTTTGCAGAAGAAAAATAAAGCGGAATTTCAAATTAAATGTGTAGTGGAGACAGCTTCATTCTGTACCACGCTACATATTTTGGTAGCAGAGGATGGTTGGTTCAGCCCAGGGCCTAATCGCATAGAAAGAAAGCCGGACCAATCAAAGCAGCATCATGGAGGAAGCAAGGGACGAGGTGAGCAGGAGATTGCTGACGCTGGGGGAGAAGGAGCTCATTCACCTATGTGAACATCTAAAGTGTAACGCACCTGTTGGGGGTTTTGCCAGCAAAACAAGACGCACCCTAATCAGGTTGGTGGAGAAGACATTAGATGAAATTGAAGAGGGTGAAGAGTCCACTGATTCATATCAGAAGTATCTCCAGCAATTACTGTCCGATCTTTCCTCTCTGAATCCAACACTGGAAGAAACTGAGGCTGAGACCGTAGTTCAGGAGAAAGGGGAGCTAGAGGAGTTGAAAATGCAGTACCAGAAATTACAGCAACAGATGGAAGAGGAAATTGGGGCGTTGGAGGAAAAAATGAAGCAGAGGATGCAAGCAGCAGGAGGACACACTGCATCGGTCCCCATTACTACAAAGGATGTAGACACAAAGTCTGCCATCACCACACCAACCAGGCTGCCTGAGGTCACGCTGAGGCGGGAGTTTCGGATAATGGGACAGATCGGTGAAGCGGGCCAGAAAGAAAAATTGTCCTACACCAGCCTCATAAACCAGATCGAGTCGGCACTACAGAAAGGACATGGAGAAGCAGAGATTATTGAAGCAGTCACACGTGCTGTGAGCCCAGGTCTTCATCTGCGGGAAATGTTGGAAATAAAGCGAGGACTGACATTACCCACCCTCAAAACCATACTTAAGGGGCATTACAAAGTGGATTCTTCCTCTGACCTGCTGCATCGTCTGATGAACATGACACAAGACCCAAGGGAGTCAGCACAGAATTTCTTATTCAGAGCAATAGAACTGAAAGAGAAGCTAATGAGAAAATTCAGCGATGATGATGCAAGCGAAGAAGGTGAGCAGTTCAGTCCTCAACTAATTCAAAGAAAATTTCTCCGCTCTATAGAGACTGGTCTTTACAGTGATGCAGTTAAGTTTCAACTCAAACCATATCTCAGCAACCGTACTGTCACAGATGAGGTGTTAATTGAACGGATCAATGAGGCAACAAACTTAGAACAAGAGAGACAACAAAAATTGAGGAAGACAGTTGTGAGCAAGTCCCCAAAAATCAGTGAAGTGCAGGCAGAAGTGCATCCATCAGAAACCTCAGAGACAGCAGTAGATAGTGTTACTCGTGAACAAGGGGGAAGAAGTAAGAAAAGTCAAGGACCCAAAACGGAGGTAGACTCATTAGAAGCGCTAAAGGCTGAGGTGCTAGAAATTAAGAAGTTGGTGTTACAGACAGTGGAGGCTACACAAGTTAGACTAACAGAGAGACCATTCACACCCGGCCGTACTCGGCTCAGAGGTTGTAGGGCATGTCAGGAAGCTCAGATGGGGGACGCCTGCAGACATTGCTTTAGGTGTGGGCAAGAGGGGCATCTGTCTAGAGGATGTCGACGGCCTAAGGAGCAGCAGGGAAACGAGAGGGGGCTGCCGAGCCGAGACCCCCGGTAGCCCATGAATCATCACGTCTCACCATACCGCAACCTGCCCTCCCCTATGCACCACCTCAAATCTCGTCAGTTAACTATCTTCCACCACGACGCAAGGAAAGACTCATCAAGTTAATTGCAAAGAGACACACTGTCCATTGCACATTAGATACAGTTCCAGTGGTAGCATTATGGGACTCAGGTGCTCAGGCAACCATCATTAATGACGAATGGAGAAAGCAACATTTACCACACAGCACAGTGCGACCTCTCAGTGAGCTGTTGGGCTCAGATATTGTATTGGGAGTGGCCGCCAACCAGACTGAGATCCCCTTCATGGGCTGGGTGGAAGCAGAATTTAGGCTAGGTAAGGACTCCACCCTGACCAAACCACTTCTAGTACCAATTCTAGTGTCAAGTGACCCCCATGTAGCAGTAGAGCCTATAATTGGCTATAATGTGATAGAGGAAATAACAGGGGAGAAGAATCAGACAACACAGACAGAGACCACTCATACTGTGAGTCAAGCTTTTCAAATAACGGTCAAGACGGCACAAGCAGTGCTACAGCTTATCCATGCCCCGTCATATGAAGAAGATATAGGAATTGTGCACACAGGAAATAGAACACTCACTTTAGGCGCTGAACAGGTCACCACAGTGTATGTTATCATCAATACTGGGGCTCAATATCATGGCCAAGACCTGCTGCTAGTTCCAAACGAAGATCAGACATTACCAGAGGGTGTAATGATAGAGGAGGGTCTAGTCAGTGCCCCGTGGAAAAGGTCAGGTTATGTACCAGTTCCCATTGCTAATACAAACAAACACAGTGTAACTCTGACCCAGCGCACCATTTTGGGTCATCTACAGACAGTGAAGACTGCCTATGCTGCCAGTATTGAGCAAATCAATAAAGGGGAGAAAGTAAAGCCAACATCACCAACAGCATCAGCACCAGGCAGTGACAATTCCCAGAACTCAAAACCGGCCTGGTGGGACCCTCCCGTCGACCTCAGTCACCTAAATGAGGAGCAAAGTAGGATCGCCAAACAGCTGCTGAGAGAGGAGTGTCATGCATTTGCATATGACGATGATGACATTGGCTCAATCCCCTCACTGAAACTCCACATCACACTGCATGACACGACCCCAGTAAGAAAAACTTACATGTCGGTTCCGAAGCCACTACACCAGGAGGTAAAAGAATATATCCAAGACTTATTGAATCGAGGTTGGATTACTCCTTCACGCTCTCCGTATGCCTCACCAGTCGTGTGTGTGCGGAAAAAGGATGGAACATTAAGACTTTGTTGTGATTACAGGGAGCTGAACAAAAAGTCAGTCCCTGATCGCCACCCTATACCCCGAATACAAGACATGCTTGATTCCCTCACTGGCAGCTCCTGGTTCTCTGTACTAGACCAGGGGAAGGCCTACCATCAGGGGTTCTTGG